CTAAATGTTTCCTTGACGAGGCCTATTAACAGACTCCAACTCAAAACGGTTGCGTATGGTTTAGATCGTCAACCTACTACATCCCTGTTCTTCCTGTATACCTGCAAAACAGACTGACTGCAAAACATAGATGAATTACAGTATAAATCAGAATTGAAATGATAGTAATTGACACAGAGATTTTTACGTGGTTTTCGATACTGAGAAATCAGTATCGACTAGTCCACGGTCAAAGGAACTCTGATTTGACCCCTTTGACGTTACTATGATGGTATGATTCGGATTACATATTACAATCAATCTCGTAGTAACTCCTCGTTACTTGATCAGAGTTTCTGATCATAATTCATCTCCCTGCCAGAATTCCAATCACTAGCTACTCTCGCTATCTCCCTGACAACTACCTCTCCTTTTCTTTTCAATACACAGTCAATTCCCTTTGTTTCTGCTATTGAAAAGCTTGATCGAAAAGGCTACGACTACTACTAAAACTCTACTCTTTTATATTCTTCCTTTTCTAACCGTTGTCTTCAGATTCTGGAGAATCAATCTCTTGCTTGATTTCCCTTAATTACTCGCCTCATCAGTCCTTTCCTCTTTTAGGTCTAGCTCAGCACTTTCCGGCCCACCTTCCTATTGTTTATCGATGCCAGTGGACAGAGCTTCATCCAACATCAATTTGGTGACCATGATAAACCATTCGGTTTGATCAAGAGATATCAAATACTTTGTTTAGTATTTGAGATGAGAACAAACTCATAATTTATATTATGAGAAGGGTATAAGAAATTCAATTGTATTTGAGTTTGGAAGAATTCACGTTGAATTCTTGAAATAAATTTTGTCATCAAATTTGTATGAGTTTCAATTTTGATGCTTGCAAGATGCAACAATTTGGTTTATGTAACAAAATTGTTTGAGTTGTGAACTTGAAGCAAATTGAAATAATGGTGAAAAGCGTTCCCCCGACATGGTAATTTGTTTATCATGTATTGGTTTATGATGTCATGTTTCATATGTCATGAGGGCAAGGAAAATGAAACTAAAATGGATCCTTATAGGGATTGAATAAGTTTGCCAAAGAATGGTGATCATCAAAATAATCATCTTCAGAATTGTTTATGGTATACGTACACTATACCATTAGAAAACAATTTGACATTTGATTATTATGTGAAGCTATTTGTCAGAATTGTTTATGGATTATGTAGACATATACCATTAGAAAACAATTTGACATGAGAGCTCAATTGAGATTATCTTATTGAACTTAAAGTTTGAATTACTTATGGTATATTTATGAAGTGTATAACATTGGTAAGTAATTAGACCATTGACTTAGAATATTCATTTGAATTGCTTGTGGTATGTCAAGTTACCTTGATGAAATGTCATTGGTAAGTAATTAGATGGTATTTCCAATACAATATGGAAATGCAACTGAATTACTTGTGGCATCTCAAGTTGCCTTGACCAATTCCATCGGTAAGTAATTAGATGATATTTATAATAATATCTGAATTGTTTGTGGTATGATAATTCAATTAGTCCATACCATTGGTAAACAATTAGATCAATGTAGTGGTTGTGAAAGCTCAATAAGTAAAAACCATGGAAAATTAAATGGAACTATTCCATGATAGTTCGGCAAGTGGTAAAATTGTGGGGAGATGTTTTTTATGCTAGTTGGATAACAAGTGCTAGTGATAATAAATCTACAACGGTATTTTTACACTAGGTGGTGGAGTTGTTTCTTGGGCTTCGAAGAAACAAATGTGTATTACACTCCACCATGGCAGATAAATTTCTAGCCCTTGCGGCGGCTTGAAAAAATGCAGAATGTCTAAGAGACATGTTGTTAAGTATAGAGTTGTGGCCACAACCGATGCCAACCATTTATGTCTTTTGTGATAGTGAGGCTATTTTGTCTAGAGTTATAGCCTAAGACATGATTACGTTAGTATTTGATTACTAATTGAATCATTTCTATCGTGTATGTAAGATCATGCAATAATTTGACAGATCCTCTTACCAAGGGATAGCCAAGAGACACTATCTATGAGACATCCCAAGAGAAGGGATTGAGACCTCTTGTGATGTTAGAAGTAATGGGAACCCAACCTTTTCTTTAGGTATTCACTAATTAAAAGGTTCAATGTGGTAATAACAAGTTACTCTAACTGAGGTACTAATTTATTGTACAAGTAAACTAGTCCAAAGAAGGGTGAGTTATAGAACTCATGAGATGAGTTATAGAGCTCTTAATGACGTTCATTTGCAATGTCTCCTATGTGAGCATTAAGAGTGGTGCCGCTCTAACAAAAGTAGAGGTCAACTTTTGTGTATGCTCATGAAACAGGATCAGCACATGGCCATAATAGTGCTACCCTAGTTGGTGGTTGTGTTTTAGAGAAGAGACAAGTACGTGTGTGGCATCTCCAGTTATAGCTTTGGATCGTGACTCCTAGGCTTAAGCCCGTCATTGATTTGTTATCAACTTTGAGTTGCTTACACTAGGTAAAGGTTCAAATTGAAAAGATACCTTTATGTATGCGTTACTTGTTCGAGGCAAGTATTCTCAACTCTTGTTGACTAAGTGGGGGATTGTTAGAGTTAGTCAATAGAGTTGTAATATCACATTGATGGGAGGAAAGTATAAGAATTGAGTCTTTTGGCAATTTAATTAATTACAAGTGTCTTTCTAGAAAGGTAAATTCCCTTTTTTGTGAAAGGATGTGTCATTTCGAGAGAGGTAACTACCCTTTTCTGTGAAAAGATGTGTCCTTTCGGGAGAGGTAACTACCTTTCTTTGTGAAAGGATGTATCTCTTCGGGAGATAACTTCTAGTTTTCACAAGTATAAATAGAGGACTGCCATAACTCTTTTTCAACATGAGACGAGAGAATTCTTCTTCTCTATTTCATAAACACAGAAGTCTGCAAGATTGCTGCTTCCAGACTTAGAATTGAAGGGACTCCTGGGGGTGGTTTGCTCGAGCCTACCAGCAATTTGTAGTGGGGGCAAATAACACACTAAGGAAAGTGGTCTAATTACGCCTTCAATCCAATTCTTTCCTACCAGTTTCCTGACACTTTTATGATCAGTGATTAACATAAAACGCCTTTGACTCCGACGATATATTATATACACATGTTTGCTTTTGACACCAGGCAACTGCATCGAACTCTAATAGTTTGAAAAATTGTGTTGAAAGTGTTGTGTTAAGAGAATTTGATAGTACAACAGTGATATTCTGGTGTGGGTGGGGGGGGGGGGGATGTGATATTGCCTTAACTGACCGAGCCCCACTTGGATGGTCAAGATCGCAATCGCACAGATCTAACCGAGCCCTCCCTCCCCTCCCCCCCCCCCCCCCCCCCCCCACTTCAGTTTCGTTGTCTTCATTATTCATAGTCATATAATCAATTACCAACCGTTAAAATTTAAATGAACCTTTCAACCTTCCTTGTCTCCTTCATCATTGGCATCAGATAATAAAGCACGAAATCTGTTGTGGTGCCGACGTTATCAATAGTGTTTTTATCATGACGAGTAGTGCAGATCATCAGTTTCATTTGTGGTGCAGACTCCAGTGTAGTACTTTTTCCGTTTCCAAGCATTCTTCTTCTTGTTATAATGATTTCTGTGTAGCTCAGAAATCATACATAAAATATTGGGTAATGTCTATTTTTTATTCAATTTTTTTTCCAGATTCTTTTATATTATCCAAACCTATCGAAATACTAAAAATTAGCCAAATGTTAACTCCCATTTAGCAATTTGTTAGTAATATTGACTTGGCAACATGATATTCACTTGAAAAAGACTCATGAAGGTATTTTAGTATTTTAATAGAAAAGAGTTACAAAATTATTAACGATAACGTAAAAATGGCTAATATTTTAATACATTACGAAAAATTTGGATAATTAATAGAATTTTAATAGGTTTGGATAATATAAAAGAATCTGAAAAAGGTTTGGATAAAAAATAGACATCATTCAAAGATCAACTATTTTCATTTAAATACGTATTACTTTTCATATTCGATTAACTATTATATCTAATTTATCATTATTTCTCCCGAATCAGGGTGGGTCACGGACCTTCTCCCTCCGCCCCTGCCTACGAGGCGAAGAATATTATAGTCGTGATGGAGAGAATAACTAAAAAACCTACGAGGCTTCAGAATAATTTATTAATCTCCCATTGTTGTTTTTTTATTTGAGTTAATTATAAGTAAAATAGCAGCAATCCCAACCCGGGAAAGTCCAGACGGAAAGTCAGTACGTTACCAAAAAAAAAACGTTAGTCTAGATAGCATCTATCATGTAGTTGTTCAAATTATCGACGGAATAACTATATGTATATGAGCACTTCTACTATGCTATATAGTATTGGTGCTTTAATGTACAACTTAAAGTTGTACCATAACATTAAATGTATAAGTTTAGGTTGTACCATAAAGCAATTTGTACCATTATGTTATGGTACAACTTTACAACTTGAAGTTGTACTATCACATAAATGTACAAGTTCAAGTTGTACCATAAAAGAATTTGTACAAACAGTATATGTACAATCTAAAGTTGTACCATAACGTAAATGTACAATTTTAAGTTGTACCATAAAGGTAAAATCCTATAGCACCAATACTATATAACATTGTAAAATTTCTCATATGTATATATTTTTTTCAAAAGCTTACTACTATTGTTACAAAGTTATTACATACGCATTTTCCCTTTAAATAAATTCAAATGCCTCCATCATGTAAGAGATGCTTCAATTGAAAATCGGAAAAACATAAATTGAATCAAGTAATGGATCGAATCCACTCAATCTAATTAAAAAATAAGAATAATAAATCATTAATAAACATAAAAATGCATCCACAAGAGTCAAGACCACAACCGCTATCAGACAATGCATACATGATCTAATACAAAGCCCATTCTTTTTCTTTTATATATATATATAAAAGCGGGCTACGCTTTATTGGCCCAATTTGTATTTACTGTTTCAGTTTCTGTCTTTTAGTGCCAAGCCTACTCACAGCCAGGCCCCGGCGAATTTGTTGCCGTCCCTTACCTCCGTCGAATTAGCCGGCCATGCTTCCATAAACCTATCCCAGCCACAGACCCCAAAAGGATGGTCCATGCTTTCTGTACTCCCCCCATCCCCTCATGCCTCACCCCACAATCTGCAATCGCAGTTGCCACTTCAGTCTTCTCCCGTCCCCTCACCTCTTTGGTTTCCTTCTCGATGTGGCGAGCTGTACGTATCTACTCCAACACGCCACCACCCATTATTTTTCTAGATTTTCCCTTACTATTTGATGGGATGGGAATACTCTTACTCTCTCCACGATCTTCATTTTTTCATGGAAGAAGATTATATCCAAAATGTCAGGGGAGAGCGAGCAAAAGCTTCGGTCGTATTGTGATGTTTGGGACGAGAGAAGCTGCAAAATGAGGGACGACAGGCCGAGGAACAGCCAGCAACAACAAGATTGTTCTTTTTACGCCAGCAACAGCCAAGGGTTACAACTCAATATCAAATCTCAATCCTCATTCTGTAAGTGAAACCCACCTTTTCTTTTCTTGGCCTCTACGCTCTTTCCGGTTTCGATTTGTCTGTTTTACCGACTTTAGTGTAAGAAAACAGGGGCTTGAAGATGTTGACTGGAAATACTGGCCTAATATGAAGACTAGAAACTGATCTACAAAGACAAAGAAAGGGATTACAACGCTTCCATGGATATAATATGGGTAAAAGGCAGGTAAAAAATGCTTCTACTTGAAGCCCCCAATTAGCCAGCAGAAGCGCTACCTTGAGATGAGAAAGAATGGCAGGATGGAGAAAGCTTGCAGGTCCATTCCTGAGATCAGCTTGAAAGTTGACCGCCTCGCCATCAGGGTATGTATGCTTTTCTCTATGATCTTCTCCCATAGTTTGTAGGTAATTAGATTGGCCAATACCGATTCGAGTGTCCAACTTGGTTGCTTTCTTAAAAGTTTTGACTCTTGAATCAGTTATAAGTATAGGTGGGAAGGTAGCAGAGAAGGCATTTTTTAGCTTGAACGAGTTGTTGATGAATTAGCTGCTGAAATTCAATGGGATTATTGGTGATGGAGATGTTAAATGCAAAGGGCATTCAAAGGCCGATAAAAGAATTTATAGCAAGAACACAGTTCAGTTACTGCTTCCTTTTGCACAACGCTCAGTAACAGGTTACTAAGTTAGTCTTACAGAACTTTGTGAGTTTGAGGAACCAACTTTGGCTTCAGTTTTCTGTGTGTTGAATCAGCAGGGGTGGCTCGGGCCACTTAGATGGTGACTTTGTTTAACTGAAACAAACAATAGAGTAAGGCAAGCACACTAAGGCTCATAGAATGTGAATGGTAAATGAATCACTGTGTAGATGGAGAAAATCAATAGAGAAGAAAAAAGAAAGCACCTTTCAACCCATCTGTGAAGAAAAGATTGACACCTTTGAAGCCATTCTAGTTACGGAGCTCCTGAAACTAATTTGACCAATTCTAGCCTGCAATTTCCACATCAATGTTAGAATATTTCAGAAACAAGCTGCAATAAACAAAACACGGTTTTAGTTCAGAAGGCAGGTTTTCATAACTCAGTCTAAGAGTACCCAAAATCCTTCCCTCATCATCCCCATCTAACAATGCTTGTTTATCTCTTATAACATCCCAATTAACCATGTTGCTCTTAGATGAAAGGGTACCTGCAATCACCCTTATGGCCAAAGGAACTCCCACGCACCTTCTCATGACCTCTTTCCCTATGTATACAAATCGTTCACCACCTTCCACTTCACCCTTAAGGCTTAAATGCTATTTGTTCAAACAAAAACCATGATTTTTGATCAGATAAACCTTTTAGCTTGTATGGTTTAATCCCCTTCGTTGCGAAGTGATTCGCGACATCTACAAGACGAGTAGTGGCGATAATTTTGCTACAAATTGCACCGACCTGCAACCAAAAACTCATCAAGCTATCCCAATTGCCATTGTAATCACCATGATTCCAAACATCATCCAACACTAACAAGAACCTCTTATTATCCATCTCCTTCTTAAGTTCCCCTCTCAAGATGTCCAACTCAAGATCTTCTACTTTACGTCGGGTTATAGACTCCAACATCTTCCTGACCAATAGTACTTGATCGAAATTATCCGAAACACATATCCAATTTTCAACTGAAAACAAGTAGACAAATTCTTATCATTGTAGATATACTGAGCCAAAGCAGTTTTCTCGAGACCCCCATCCCAAGAATAAGAATAATCTCAATTTTCTGCTCATCGTTGGCCGATGATAGCATATCAATAATGCTCTCGTGCTTGATCGCAGTAGCAGCAGCCGGATCTTGGAGGCGCGTTTCAAGATTGAATTTCCTCCGATTCTCATCAATCTCATCTAGCTTGGTCATGATGGCCTTCAATCGATGAGCCATCATAAGGCCACTAACCAGTTGGTTGGAGCCCGTAAAGAAGAGGCATACCTCGTTCAGACAGCGATTCCCATCATTCCTCCGCAGCTTCAACAGAGCCTCCGTGGAGAAATCAACCAGCAAGTCATCAGCATCATAAAGGACCTGTTTCAGTTCATAGAGCTAGTCCCGAACCTGATGGTTCAGACCCGATTTCTCCTCAGCATCCAACAGCACCGCGCGTATGGAGGAAACTGTGCTTTAGCAGGAAGGGGAGCCAACTTCTTGAGGATCGCTTCCGTAGCAGCAAATGCCATCTTTGGCAGAGACCTTTTGAAGAAAAAGGGGTCCAAAGGCAAAGGAAGGAAGAAAGCTTGTACGTGATAGAGGTCTCACAAATGAATGTGCAGACTGCGATAGTGATCTCTACTTCGCCGGATATTCATGGAAGCTGCAATAAGTCTGGTGTGTATGCATTGACCACATCCTGCAGTGATAAAAATAAAAGAATGTTGGAGACCGCTTTTATTTTGGTTCAAAGAATATGTTCATCGATAAGTGTACATTGGAGACGGAATGCCCAAGGGCAGTTCTTCCTCTTCTTCTTCACTGAAAAATTCTTGTCCAGGCGCAAAAGGAATACAACTCCAAAATACAACAAAGGTTATAAAGAAAGAGATAAGAACAGAACTAGTCCGCACAGGATGGAAGTTCAAGCTAGTAGAAAACAAGCAAGATGCAACTATTGCCAAGAAACATGGAGTGAAATTGTATAATTTGGTCCAAGAAAACAAGCTTGTACGCCACAAAGGCCTCACAAATAACTCTGCAGACCGCGAATACTGATCACTAGTTTATCGGATATGTATGCAGGTTGCGATAAATCTCTTGTATATGCGTCAAAATACCCGAGAGAGAACGTTTGGTAACTAACCCAGAAAGCATCTCTGGAATAGGTTACAAGTCAATCTCGCAATGCAATTTGACCACATTCTGCAGTGACAAAAGTCAAGGAATGTTGTTGGAGACCGCTTTTATATTAGTTCAAAAGAATATGTTCATTTATGTAGTTAAGAAGAATGTACCTTGGAGACGGAATGCCCAGGGATGGTCCTTCTGCTTCTTCCTCGAGCTCGCCCTCATGATCATCGTCTTCTTCTCCCTCGCCTTCGCTAGCATGATCATCATCTTCTTCTTCTTCAATGAATAGTTCTTCTTCTTCTTCTTCTTCTTCTCTTCCACTTGCTTCTTGTTCTTGAAGTTGGTTTTCGTCTGCTGGTTCTTCTACTCTCACGTAGTTACCATCCTCTTGAACTGTCATGTCATTAATTTCAATATTCCGAATGTGAGCAACTTTGTGCCAGTCCTCGGCCATTCTACTCTTCAATCTGGCTGATAGAAAATGACAGCCATCTATATCCAGAGTATCTAGCGCTGTGAGCTTGGGTAGCCATTTTGGCAAGCACTTGAGACCGCCACACCTACGTATCCACAACATCTGCAAGTTAGAGGAATGCTGAAGCCACTCTGGTAGACTCTTCATCCTTGGAAGATTACATATATAAAATTCACGGAGGTTTGGAAGGACAGAGAACTGGAGGGAAGTGAGATGTTGTTGTTGACTAGTAGCCGGTGGAGACAGATTCGTAAGGATCGGGAAATTCCCTATCCACAAAAATTCAAGGAATTCAAGATGTGGCAATAAACCTTGCGGCAAAATTCGAAGGCCTCTTATCCCCTCGATTGTCAGTCTTTTCAACCGCGAAGGGGAGCTGGGTGGTGGAAGTGAGGCAACAAACTGGTCCAACAGTTTGCGGTCAACATTTCTTAAGTAAAAAATTTCAATACCCACCGAAAAATGAGGAAGTCGTACCAGTTTCGGGCACTTCTCAATGCGGAGATCTGAAAGACAAGGGACCTGCGGCATTTCTATCTCTGTGGTTGACCTCCAGCTTACTAGCCTGGGGCAGTTGTGAATGCGGAGAGATATCAAGCATGGAAGAAACTGACCAGCGTCATCCTCGATGTACTCTAAGCGACCTAAATCAGACAATGTCAAGCGAATCAGATTCTGGAGAGAAGTAGAGAACCAGCTAGGTAGACTGCGACCGCCATAACCATCCAAATCTAGTTCCTTCAAATTATTATGTGGCTCCAACGCCTTTAGTACCTCAACATCCCTGCCAACAAAATCTCGTCTTGGTGTGCTCCACTTCAATGTCAAGGCTTGAAGATGTTGCTTCCGAAACAAACTTGCTACCTTCACTTCAGCCTCATCTTTCACCAATTCCAGATTTATGATCTTCAATTTCCCACTTAGATTGTCGAGATGCTCCAGCTCGTTGATTCTAGCAGCGACTGCTTCATGTGAATAGTATGATGCAGGTGGCACAATGAACAGGGACAATTCTCTTAAGCGAGTGATCCGTCCGATACCAAGTGGCAAGCCTTTCAAACTCGAACACCCAATGAGGCTAAGAAACTCGAGATCAGTCAATTTCACAATATCTCTTGGCAATTGCCCGAGATTATCACAAAAATCTAGTATGAGCACTTTTAAATTTACTAGTACCGTAATCTCGTCGGGGAGCACCTCCATAGGATTGCGAGAAAGATCTAGGTACCTGAGATGTGTCAAGTTATGGATGGAGCGGGGCACACTCTCCAGTTTAGCACCGTCGAGACTTAAAACTCTGAGCCTAGTATTATTTGAGAAGATCATCTCACAGTTCTGCTCCTCGATGCCATCAATGCCATAATAGATTGTATTCATAGGAAGAAAAGTTCGCAGTTTTGTTACATTAGCCAACGCTTGTGGAGCTTTCCATGTTTCTCTCGATTTTTCCTCAAAATCGAACGATATGTGTCGAAGCCTGTCAAAGCTGACACTACCTTCCATTGAATCTGAAGCTTTTAAAGCCATAATCTCATCACTTGAAATCTCTAGGGCCACGTCATGAATCAAATCATGCATCTTACACTGATATACATTCCCCCATTGATCACTTTCTGGCTCTTGAAAAAAGAACCTAGACAGCAAACTCTTGAAATATTCAACTCCAACCTCAAATAAAGCAGATGACGATCGAATAGAGTTGATAAATCCTTGCCCCATCCAAATTTGCACCAACAATTTCACATCAATGTTAGAATCTTTCGGAAACAGGCTGCAATAAACAAAACACGGTTTCAGTTCAGAAGGCAGGTTGTCATAACTCAATCTAAGAGTACCCAAAATTCTTCTCTCGTCGTCCCCATCTAATAGTGCTTGTTTATCTCTTACAATCTCCCAATCAATAATGTTGCTCTTAGACGATAGGGCACCTGCAATCACCCTTATGGCTAAAGGAACTCCCACGCACCTTCTCATGATCACTTTTCCTATCTCTACAAATGATTCACCACCTTCCACTTCACCAGTAAATGCTATTTGTTTAAACAAAGACCATGATTTTTCCTCAGATAAACCTTTCAGCTTGTGTGGTTTAATCCCCTTCGTTGTCAAGTAATTCGCGACATCTCCAAGACGAGTAGTGACGATAACTTTGCTACCAACTGCCCCGACCTGCAACCAAAAACTCATCAAGCTATCCCAATTGCCCTTGTAATCACCATGATTCCAAACATCATCCAACACTAACAAGAACCTCTTATTATCCATCTCCTTCTTAAGTTCCCCTTTCAAGATGTCCAAGTCAAGATCTTCTAATTTACGTCGGGTTATAGACTCCAACATCTTCCTCACCAACAGTGCTTGATCGAAATTATCCGAAACACATATCCAAATTTTCAACTGAAAACAAGTAGACAAAGTCTCATCGTTGTAGATACACTGAGCCAAAGCAGTTTTTCCGAGACCCCCCATTCCAAGAATCGGAATAACCTCGATTTTTTGCTCATCATTGGTCGATGACAACAACATAGCAATTATTTTCTTGCTATCTTCCTCTCTCCCAACAAATCCATAGGGAACAAAAGAGTCGGTCTGCCTCTCGCGCTTGATCGCAGCAGCAGCCGGATCTTGGAAGCGCGTTTCAAGATTAAACTTCCTCCGATTCTCATCAATCTCATCCAGCTTGATCCTGATGGCCTTCAACCGATGTGCCATCACAAGACCACTAACCAATTGGTTGGAACGCGTAAAGAAGAGGCATACCTCGTTCAGACAGCGATTCCCATCATTCCTCCGCAGCTTCAACAGGGCCTCCGTGGAGAAATCATCCAGCAAGTCATCAGCATCATAAAGCACCTGTTTCAGTTTATCGAGCCAGTCTTGAACCTGATTGTTCTCGCCCGATCGCTTCTCGGCATCCAACAGCACCGCACGTATGGAGGAAACCGTGCTCTTCAGTTTCAGGAAATCGCTCTTCAAGCTCCAGAGGAGACCTGCTTGCTCAGCAGCAAGGGGAGCCAACTTCTTGAGGATCGCTTCCGCAGCAGCAAATGCCATCTTTGGCAGAGAACTTTTGAAGAAAAAAGAGTCCAAAGGCAAAGGAAGGAAGAGGATGCAAGAAAATGGGATCAGAAGGTTTTCAGAAAGCACAAGAGAGGATTATGAATTATGATCCAAAACCCACTTACTCTACATACACGGCTTGATCAAGATCCCGGTGGGGATATCTAAACGTTGACTCAGAATGTTCACATGGTAGCAGAAAATCGAGATGCCAGTTGGCCAGTACTGAACGCTGCACTAGTGTCAAGGCATCTTTATGACACATCAACGAATAATATAATCACCTAGTTGTTTTGTATAATCGAATGAGAGCATCAACGAAGGCAGCACGAGACTCACCTGAGCCATTCCACATGCTATTTTCAAGAACAATGCCTAGCCATTGACCTGGAAAAGCTATGCATCGAATCCGGGCTTGCATGTTCTCGCAATTGGGAATCCCCGTTGGAGTTCTCTGCCATGTCCCCTCTTCTGCACTGATCTGAGCTTCCCGTAATGATCCAGCCCGCAAAGTGCCTTTTTGAAAAACAAATTCAAAGCGCGAAAACTGTTACATTTGAATGTTAACATGTTCGTTGTATAGGATAATGGATATGCACTATCCGCCAAACCCGCTACGTTGCCACCTCTATGCAAATGGAGGCTTAGCCAAGCTGTAATTGATCCGGTCCATGATCCGGCCAAGTAACAAAGAACCAATCGATGATTGACGGCCTGGGTCGATGGTTTAACATGTATCATCTAAATGACAACTACATATAAGTGGTTCTCCGTTGTTAAGAAAAAAAATTAAGGGTAGGATTTGTTTACCACACTTTTCAAATCAAACATGAATTATAAATTGAAAATAAATTATAGTAATGTTAGATCAAACTCTCATTTGCAAGCAAGGAAGAAACATAAAAAAAAATACCAATCACAAAAAAGCAGAGGAAGAAAACCTTGCTGGTAGAAAACTAAACAGAGGAACCATCCATTCCAAAGTATTGACAGCATGCTTCTTCTCTTCCATGGAGTATTGGAGTTGCAGCTTTTTCACTAGGTAAACATGGGATTCATACGACATGAGGAGAAGAGGACTAAGGATAGATACCCAAAATGCGAATGAATAGAATAAAATCTCTGCCACTACATGCTCTGGTCGGATGAAAGAACTGCAACTGTTAATTGGCTGACTCCACCTTTATTCGATCCACGTCGTTGATCACTCCTTCAAGCTGCAGCAAGGGAAATCAGCACACATAATCACCACGGGAGAACATATAATTCATAGACCAAAAAGATACCGATTCATGAGTTTAAAATATTTTTTGTTCATCTTTTGATTTTCAAATTTAACTTGATGCTTTATTGTGTTTGTTCAAACTTCCACTCAATGCCAGTACTTCCACCCAACATTTGGCCCTGACTCGCTTTTTTTATATTTAAGGTGGCATAATCATCTTAACCCTTCAATTAACAGACAGGCTTGGACTCAGGATGAGGAGTTGGCATTGGTTCGTGCTCATCAAATTTATGGCAACAGATGGGCAGAGCTCTCTAAATTCTTGCCTGGAAGGTTTATTATGTCGTACTAGTTTTTTGACCCGCACTTCGTCGCGGTAAGAAACTAATTATTTACAAAATTTTCTCTATTTATTTAATGATTAATTGAAATTAAATAATTAACAAAATAGGTTGTGTAAGATACTTCTATAATGACTTAAAATGCTTATTCAATTGATCATAAGAAATAATTATCCATCCATAAGATTTATATAATATATTGTAATTAATGCCATTATATAAAACTGTGTTACGTAAAGTACTGTTTTTGTCTCCTCTAGAGTTAGAATCTTTTGTTTTTTCGGGGTGGCTTCTTTAGAGTCTTTTAGGGGTCCTGGGTAGAATTGTAAGCTTAACTTTTATTTTCCATTGATATCACTCAGAAATAAAAAAAATCTTTTATAATGCAAAATGATCACATTGTAATGCAAAATTGATGAGATGATAAATATTGCAAAATAATAAATTAAATTCATTTAATTATAAAGTATTTAAGTTATGCAAACGATCACATTTGATTAAAATGTTAAATTGGTACATAAGAAATCTCTATTCATGCAGAAGTTTTACGCAATATTTTAATTAAATGTGAAAGACTTAAATAATATGTTTTTAATTAATACATAAGAAATAATTGATTGTATAAGTGTTATATAATAGATCTAACAATAAAGTCAAGCTATAGAAAAAATCACATTTGATTAAGCTATTAGCTAAAGCCTAAAAGTTAGATTACCTTATAAAATATTTTCTTAAAGTAAATTGATAAGAGGGTGAATATTGTAGTTGATAACAAATGAATTAAGTTATGAAAAGTATTACATTTGAATAAAATATTATATAAAAAATAATTGATCCTACGAAACTATTGTGTAATGCAAAAAGATGAGATGGTCAACTGTTTAGTTAGTGATAAATGTATTGTTTCTAAACGTGACTACATCTATGTATTTTTCAAAAGTTGACTATTATAATTACAAAGTGCATCCTTATATATATACAATGTGTATTTTTCGCACATAATATTCTAAACATGAAAATTATGAATTCGGCTAAACGTCGAATTGATGGGGCAAAGTAAAGCAATTAAATTACGAAAATATCACATTTGATTGAACAATTATATAAGAAAATAACCACAAAATTTTTGTGTAATGCAAAAACATGAGATTGTCAATAATGTAGTTAGTGTAAACATATTTTTCCTAAATGTGGCTACATCTCTGTATATTTCAAAATTTGACTATTATTGTTAAAAAATGCATCCTTATAATTATCGAGTATGTTTGCCAACCAAAGTTTCAAGTTAATAATAAATTGGTGGGACAAAGTAACTTCCCTCCTTGGTTTTTCTTATTAAAGAGACAAAACTTTCCCTCTGTGGTAGCCGAAGGATCTCGGCTAATGCTTGGTCAACCGACAGGAATCTCCACACGGAAATAATCTAGACACACCCACATAATATAATCCCTTGGCCTTAATGGACAGTATTTTCTCTAATTAATTGGGGTTATGCGCATATTTCGTAAGGAACAGTAAAAAATCATGCGGCAACTTGCACTTTAATAATTAATTAATTAATTAATAATTAATAATTATTAATATTTTTAAAATATCAGTTCTTCTTTTACCTTTGCACACAGTTCTTGTTAACTTATTTAGTTGGCTTGATTGGAGGAGTTTTTGTTGCCAGTTGAGTTATAATTGATTCATTTGATTCTGGGGGTTTACAGGACGGATAATGCTATAAAGAACCATTGGAATAGTTCTGTGAAGAAGTTGGTTTCTTACTTGGCATCTGGTCTACTAGAACAGTTTCAAGGCCATCCACTAGTCATGCATCAAAATCAACCCACAACTTCATCTTCTTCCATGTTGCAAAATAGTGGGGATGATGAGATGCCTGTTCGATGCATGTGTTCAGCATCTAGTTCTCCTTTCGACTTTCTCCATAAATTTGAAAAATAGGTGGGAAAGTCTCCATTAGTTGCTCTTTCTTATTAGCTTAGCTCTTGCTTTGACATTACTATAGGCAGATGATCTGACCGTTCTCCCTTTGACCGATGCCGATCTAGAATCATTGCCGAGGAGAACTGGCTTGAAAGGTTAGCATCCAGATTCAGAATAGGAATAGCTGGCCGTTGGTTCGTGAATCTATTGTTTCGGAAGGGAAACCTAATTGAGTCAAAAAGGGTAAATGGAACTTGGATCTATTTCAGAGTACAGTCAGGAGTCAACAATCATGGCCTGTTCTCAGTCAGCTAACGGTTTGGGGGATAATTCTATTATCCATACAGGAGAAGAATTCCAGTTAGCACAAGAATCTGGCATTGTAAATGAAAGATACCCCTATACTGCTGTCCATTGTTCCGAGGAGTATTACACGTCTCTTGGAAATGTCCAGTTTTCCATTCCTGAAGTATCCTGTGAAGCAGATGGATCCTCCACCGGCTTTCTCCATCAGAATTACGCTCATATGGCTGCAGTTGATAATCCAGCAAGTAGTGATTACCAATTCAACTTGGAGGAGCTTTCCAACTTGCATCATCCACTGGAAGCTGCAATAAGTCTGGTTTGTATACATTGACCACATCCTGCAGTGATAAAAATAAAAGAATGTTGGAGACCGCTTTTATTTTGGTTCAAAGAATATGTTCATCGATATCGTTAAGAAGAGTGTACCTTGGAGACGGAATGCCCAAGGGCAATTCTTCCTCTTCTTCTTCACTGAAAAATTCTTGTCCAGGAGCAAAAGGAATACAACTCCAAAATACAACAAAGGTTACAAAGAAAGAGATAAGAACAGAACTAGTCCGCACAGGATGGAAGTTCAAGCTGGTAGAAAACAAGCAAGATGCAACTATTGCCAAGAAACATGGAGTGAAATTGTATAATTTGGTCCAAGAAAACAAGCTTGTATGCCACAGAGGTCTCACAAATAACTCTGCAGACCGCGAATACTGATCACTAGTTTATCGGATATGTATGCAGGTTGCGATAAGTCTCGTGTATATGCGTCAAAATACCCGAGAGAGAACGTTTGGTAACTAACCCAGAAAGTATCTCTGGAATAGGTTACAAGTCAATCTCGCAATGCAATCTCTAGGAAACTGATACAATTATGAGTAAGGAAGCAGGTTTTGTGAATTACCTAGACAAATTCAATAGTTTCTGGTCCATGACGGGAAGAACCTTTCATGAAGTACTTGATCACATGGTAAGATAATAACATATAGTGGAACTCAGGAAAATATGGCGACACTTTCAAAGATTTCAATCTGGTAAAGGGAGAAGATTGATCCTCCAAAAAGTCGTAATTGCTGCTCAATAGCTACACAAAGTACAACAAAAGAAAAAATTAATCCAGTAAAGTGACAGGTTCAATAGCATCAATCTCATACTTTAAGATTATACCTCGAGAAAATGAGAATGCACATTCAAAGAACTCGCATTGTGCAGACCCTGTAACAAGCTGATGCAACTAGCCTTCATTTCTTCCTTGTTCTTTTCAACACGGCCGTTATCATGCACTGAAATTATACCGTGATCAAGTGAAGGAAGGGCTAACTGGTACAATATTGGGGATCTCGCGATATCCGTGATATCGAAGAACTTAAGCTCTGGCGCAAATATTTCCAACTTAGAACAACAAAGCGCAGATATCTGGAGTTTAACAAGTCGGGGTCCGGAGATCTTGAAGCAACATTGACGATCTTCCATTGCACACCCACACAATGTCAAATTCTCCAAGCAGGGAAAGTTAGCAAAAGGATCAAGGTCAGCCGCGCTGCCACAAGGCAGGCAGCAATCATCCAAATCCAAAACCCTCAGCGCGCTGAAAGCACAAGATCCGAATCCCGTTCCCAAACTTGAGCATCTGAACCGTAGTCTTCTGAGATTGCTATCAGCTAGAGGGACAAACAAATGTGGCTCCAGAATTTCATCATAGCCCACACAAACTATTAACTCTTGACAATTGCTAGACGCAGCAAATTTGACAACCCTTTGGAACAGCTCTTTGTCCAGGGAAAATCTCAAGTGAAAGAAGTTTATCTCGTCGACGTTACTGCCGCCAAGGCGAGAGGACAGGACTCCATCGACGTACCTGGCGAAACTTGAAGCGCTGTTGAAGAAATCCGTGTCGAGAGTGAGTCGGGGAACGTGCTTCCACAGGGATCTCCACCTGCTGGAGAGGACACTGGTTCGGACGGAGAATAGGGTATCGTCGAAGAAGGAGAGAACGTGGTGAAGGACGTGGTCCGGAAGACTGCTCAATCGGTCGATTTGTGGTTCTTCCGCTTCTCCTTCGATGCGAATCTTCTTGTTAGGGTTTTGGATAGACATCCTGCTCTGGTGCGGCCGCTCTTCGCCGGAAAATTACAGATGCGGATTACGTCGGAATGCGAAGTCAGAGGGGCCGATTGATCGCTGGGCTATTTTGCTCGCGCATCCATTACAGCTTAGTTGGAGCGTCGGAGGGTTTCTACACCAAATGATTGAAATGACAGAGGAAGTCTGGAACCGAAGGGGTTTTCTCTTTTCCCGCCCTTCAGCCCGCCCGAAACAAAAATGCGAGGACTGTGTGCATATTTCGGGGTACGGGTTAAAGACACATTTGGTCACTGAGATTACAAAATTGGGACACGTTTAGTCACTAGAAAATGTTAATATCAAATTTGGTCACTACAATTACTAAAATTGGACGCATTTAGTCACTCGCCGTTAGTCTCCGTCCAACTCCGTTAATGAAGTCCGTTAAGTGCTGATGTGGCAAACAGAATTGCCTAATCAGCCGGATATAACCCAACAAAAATAAAACCTGACCCGCCACATCATTTTAACCCGCCACATCATTAAAACCAACCCAACCCATGACCCAACCCCACCACCTCCTCCGCCGCCGGAAGACAGCCCCTGCATCCGCTTGAGGTAGAGCCGGAACTTCTGCAAATGACTGGCGACATTCTCCCTAGTCAACCCGTCCACACTCATGAGCTGCATTATCGTCTTGGGCACCGCGTTCTTGATCCCCAGGTGCGCGACGGCGTCCACGAACCTCTTATGCAGCTGCGGCGTCCACACCAGCCTCGGCCGCTTCAACGTCCGGGCCGACTCGTTGCCCCCGGTGCCGGACCCCAGCTCCGCCGAGGATTTGGCGGCGAACTCGGACAAGTTGTGCTGCGAAGTCGCCAGAGAAGGATTCCCGTTGTTGTGGTTGGGAGAAGGCAAGCCGCTGGACGTCGGTAAAGGAGGAGGCGGCGGCGGGACCGGCTGATTCTGGTGGAGCGAATTGCTGGCCGCTGCCACCACCGCAGCAGCGGCGGAGGAGTTGGTGGAATTCCGGATGTCGAAGGCGAGGGCGAGATCGGGAGTGATTAGGGTTTGAGTGATTGGCATGAGCTTGTCCGGCGAGGGAAGCTCATCTTCCCATCGAGCGAACCAATTGGAGTCGTCTTCCCTCATAGCTCGTGGCTCCCGCTAATTTAGTTCAGCTCTTCCTTCCTTTCTTCAGTCGAATCTTTGGCCGCTCTTTCTCTCGTCTCCCTCTCTCTGTGACTGCAGAGTATGGCGGAGGAGGAGGAAGGAGGAAGAAGGGTTGGGTAGGGTTGGGTCATGGGTTGGGTTGGTTTTAATGACGTGGCGGGTTATAATGACGTGGCGGGTCGGGTTTTATTTTTGTTGGGTCATATCCGACTGATTAGGCAATTCTGTTTACCACATCAGCACTTAACGGACTTCATTAACGGAGTTAGACGGAGACTAACGGCGAATGACTAAATGCGTCCAGTTTTAGTAATTGTAGTGACCAAATTTGATATTAACTTTTTCTAGTGACTAAACATGTCCCGATTTTGTAATCTCAGTGACTAAATGTGTCTTTAACCCTTTCGGGGTACATATTTCGTGTGTTAACTCAGATTACTAAATCGGGACACGCTTAGTACTAAAAAAAGTTAATATTAAATTTGGTCACTATAATTACTATAACAGGACACATTTAGTCACCCGTCGTTAGTTGCCGTCCAACTCGGGGTCGGTTAGCATGCTAACCCCCCTTAGGGGTTGGAAAAATGACACCCCCTAGTATATTAAATACAACTATAATTAATACACAATAATTAATACACACATTAAATACACATTAGGAATTAAATGTACCATATTAATTAGGAATTCTCTCACTATTAAATACACATTAGGAATTAAATACACACATTAAATACACATTAGGAATTCTCTCACTATATTTGATTTTTTCTTTTTCAGCAGTCTCCGACCACCAGACTTCCTCCGACCGCCACACTTCTCCGGTGAAAATCCCATCGGCAGACTCCCTCCGACCACCTCCAAAAAATATACCACTGCACTGATACGGTGTACCACTGTACTGGTAGATATACCACTGCACTGATACGTTGTACCACTGTACTGGTAGATATACCACTGCACTGATACGTTGTACCACTGTACTGGTAGATATACCACTGCACTGGTAGCGATATCAGTGCACTGGTAGCAATGTCATATCTGAGTATCAGTGCAGTGGTACAAATACCAGTAAAGTGGTAATTAATGTGGTGTATTTAATGCTTACTTTGTATTTAATAACAGAACATTTATTATGTTTACTTTCATTAATACTTGTCAATAATTAATGAAAAATTGACCAATTAAAAGGGGGGTGTCAAAAAACCAACCCTTTAAGGGGTTAGCATGCTAACCCGTCCTGTCCAACTCCGTTAAAAGACTCTGTTATGTGCTGACATGGCTAACAGGAGCATCTAGTCAGAATCCTTTTGGGTCATAAATGTTAAACCCGACCCGTCACGTCACTAAACCCGCCATGTCATACACCCAATCCAACCCATGAACCAAACTTGATCCTGAACCAAACCCGACCCACTTAACAAAAGCAAACCCGCCTCACTTCTCCTTCCTCTCGTTCCTCATCTCCCCCCTCCACCTCTCGCAAGCTTCCACCTCTCGTTCCTTATTTTCTGGATGGGGGAACAAAATCGCCAAGGACGAAAGCAACAATTACCTTCTGATACAAAATAGGAGAGGAGTGAAAACAGGGGAAGGTGAAAACCAGCAGCAGCAGAAGTTCAATTGATGGAGGTTTCAGAAGTTCAATTACAACGTCGAGAGCTACGTCCTCAACTTCGATTGCGGGTTGGACGAGGAGGAGTATGACTACGTTAATGGGTTTTCAAGAACTCTGTTCTCTCGTCGAGATTAGGGTTTTCAAGAACTCAGGGGATAAGTGATGGGGGAGGGATCAGAGGTTCGATCAAAAATGAGGTTTCTCGGATCTGGTTGGTTTCCACGACGGCAACAGGAGAGAAGTAGGGGATTTCGCGCACTGCGGGGAGAATAACAAATAGTGTTTCAATGGGCTTGTGATTTTGGAGGGGGATTTGTGATTTGGTGGAGAGGAGAAAGAATGGCATATGAAGGACAAACAAAGGACTAAAGACCGAGTGGCAGTGGTGGTCAATAAGCACCGGCGACTGGTTCCTAGAAGTGAGAGAATCAAGCGGGATGAAGCCAATGTGAAGGCGGCGAAGGCGGAAGCGAGTGCCGAAAGGAAAGAGAAGAAGATTCCTAGGCGAGGAGGGCCTCTTCCACGATTCCAATTCTAATTTCCACTACAATTCTGATTCCAATTTCCGGCTGCTCCACTGATTCAATCGCGAGATGTGGAGGACCTGCACTATGTTTATCGAGTGAGGGGAACCCATGGCAGTGTGCGTGGATTTGGGGTTGTTGATTTCGGAGCTAAGCGAGGATTCGTAGAAAGGAAAGTTGAGGAAGCTATGTGTTTCGCCGGGTGTCGTGTTTTGCCGGAGGAAGGAGTGGGGGAGATGAAGCGGTGGGGAAGAAGGGTCAGAAGCAAGAAAGAGAAAAAGTCACGAAAGAAGAGGGTTAGAGATTGGAGAAGGGAAGAGGGGGTTGGGTTCAAAGGTTTGGGTTGGGTTTGGTTGGGTCGGGCTTGAGTGACGTGGTGGGTCGGGTTTCATCATTTTCGGGCTAAATTACGCTGACTAAGCGATTTTGTTTGCCACGTCAGCACTTAACAGACTCCATTAACGGAGTTGGACGGAGACTAACGGAGAGTGACTAAATGCGGACTATTTCAGTAATTCGAGTGACCAAAATTGATATTAATTTTTTTCACTAACTAAACATGACTCATTTTAGTAAATACAGTGACCAAACTTGGCATTTACCCCATGTTTCGTATTTATGTTTTCTTTTCTTTTAATGAATTTTTTATTTAGGGGTTAATACCTTTTTTTTATCAGAACGTGCGATTCAGCTTCATTGAGTAGAAAAGGATTATAGGTATAATATGCCCTTCTACTATGACGTTTTATCAAACATGCCCCTCTACTATTTTTTACATCAAACATGCTCCTGTACTATGAAAAAATTATCAAACATGCCCTTATGTTTAAATGTTCATTAAAAAAATCGTCAATCATGGTTGAACCGAGATTTAGACGACCCATTGGCAAATAGGAGAGAAAATGTCAGTTTTATCTCCCGTTGTATTTCTCTGGGTGTCTTCAAAGTGAAATTATTTTAATTATTTGGCTATACAAAAGACAAAAAAAAAATAAAAGTGAAATTATTAGGGATATTTTAGACATTTGTGCCGCCCAAACCAGAGTTCGACCTTGATTAACGGTTTTTGGATGAAAATTTAAACAAAAGGGCTTGTTTGATCATTTTTACAAAGTACAGGGGCATGTTTGATGTAAAAAATAGTAGAAGGGCATGTTTGATAAAACGTCTTAGTAGAGAGGGATATTATATCTATAACCCAGTAGAAAACGATGCTACATTATCCTTAAGAAGCTGATCTAACAGATTCAGCAGTGGCCTATCAAACCAGACACCCGTTATATCCCATCTCGCCTTCGTATGGGCCATTATGTGTGCAGCCTCATTTGCAACTCTGCTCGCAAAGTGAACACTTCCACCCATCATTGCCGCCAACCTGCGTATGTTCCTGAGCACAACCCCAATCTCTGTTTGGATTTCGTCTGCCACCTCCAATTTGTTCACCACTACTAGGCAATCTGTTTCCACAACAGACATCGTTAAATGGTGATGTCGAGCCAGTTGAAATCCAAACTCTATCGCCAAAGCCTCGCCCAGAGTTGGGTCGTTAATTCCTTTTAATCGCTTCGCCGCAGCCAATATAAAATTTCCATCATGATTCCGAACTACCACCCCCAGTCCAACACCTTCATCGTCTATCCCCGCATCCGTGTTCAACTTCACCCTCCCAAGTGGAGATCTCGACCAGACATGGCTTACTAGCGAAACTGGTAGGGCATCCGGGAGCTGCTGCTGGTGTCGATACTCCTCAAGGTAGGATTGTGCTCTTGGCACTTTGTCCGCTTCATCCATCTTCTTCCCGTTAAACAAGTGAGCGTTCCGTTCTCTCTATAAAGACCACAACAATACCACCCACTCCTCAAGCTCAATTTCCGGCACCGAAGCAATCACCTACCGAACCCTGTCCATACAACCTGCCCCGGCTTTTACCTCAAAACAACGAGTTACATCCGACTTCCGCCACAACCTACTCACCCATTGGCAATCGTAGAAAGCATGTTGTTGTGTATCTAGCTGGTCGCAATACGGGCACACGCCACTCAGCCTTGGGTTTCAGCTATGCACCTTCTCCCCCATTGCCTACGCTTCGCGTGTAAATTTCCACACGAACACTTTTACTTTTGGCGGTAGCTTAAGCGACAACAGTTTTTTCCATGGAGTTGGATCCCCTACACTCCGATTAGCATGCTGGCCCTGAAAATTCCGCAACCACGTCCTGTAACCCTCCCTTGCAGTGTATTGGCCATCAACACTATCTACCCAGATTAGTCGGTCTTGTTCTCCCGGGTGACGTAGCGGGACTTGTTTAATAGCATGTACCATATCAGATGGGAAACAACTTCCCAACAACGTCTCATCCCATTTTTCTTCCTCTTCGTTAATCAGGTCCCACATGTTAAGAACCAGTTGATCCCAATAACTCGAGTTGGTGGGAGAGGTTCAATTGTGGATCATATACCGTTTACTAACACCCCCCTTCAAACTCAAGCCATTCAGATAGGCTTGGAGTTTGGACAGGCACAGGTCCGGACACCGTGTGCTTAACAGAAACAGATGGGGGCTACCGGGAATCGAACAGAAGACCTCACGGTCACAGAAGGCTCTGATACCATGTTAAGAACCAGTTGATCCCAATAACTCGAGTTGTTGGGAGAGGTTCAATTGTGGATCATATACCGTTTACTAACACCACACCATTGAATCAACCTGGATACCCATTGGTGGCGATTGAACAATATTATGAGGTGTTGACGACAACCATCAATCACCCCAGATACGAACAGACACCCCATTACCGATTCACCATCTCAAGCCTTCAACCAGGAACTCTTGGGCGCTCATAAGGCTACGCCACACATAGCTTGGTCGATATCCAACACGGGCCTCTAGGATAGTGGCGTTTTTATGATACTTCGCCTTCATGATCTGAGCTACTAGAGACCTTGGTCTCTGATGCAAATGCCACAGTTGTCGTGCAAGTAGCGCTTGATTGAAACCCCGCAAATCCCGGAAACCAATACCCCCTTGCTCCTTGGTACATATCAGTGCCTCTCGTGCTATCCATGGAGTTCTGGGCTCTTCACCCTTTTGCCCCCACCAAAAGCGGGTAATCAAACCATGTATCTCCTCTAGTATTCCTTTAGGAACCTTGAATACCGACATGGTGTAGGTCAGCTGTGCTTGTGCCACCGATTAAATCAAAACCTCGCGCGCAGCAGCTGACATCGACTTCTCTTTCCAGCCCGCCAACTTTTTCCGAACTCGATCTTTGAGATAAATGAAGAGCTCTTTCTTAGACCTCCCTACCTCTGTCACAAGACCCAGATATTTATCATGTTTCTATACTACCTTCATCCCAAGATTTGAGCTCACTATTAATCTTTGGTGCCACTTTACATTAGATCCAAAAGTCACCTCGGAGTTCTCCAAACTAACCAGCTGGTCGGACTCCGTATGATCAATGCAGTCAAAATCGGGATTTTGATCGTAAAATCGTAGGATTTTAGGATTTTACTTAGGGATTCCGATCCTGATTTTTCTATAAAATTGGTAGACCTTAAAATCGTTCAAAATTGGGATTAAAATCGTTAAAATCGCAAAATCGTACAAAAATCGAGATTTTGATCATATGTGAACAAAATAGAGAGCTTGAGCCAATTCAAAAGAAGCAGAACTGTTTCGGTGGAAAGGGCAATGACGGGGATCTTCTCATATATTTTTCCTATTAAAAGAACATTTGAAAAGAAGAAAAAAAACTAATTAGGGTTCGGTCAACCCCTTTTCCCTTCTCCTTGTTTAACTCATCCGTAAAACAATTGTCAGAATATTGTAAGCGCATAAGAATTAACATCATTATTAACAAATTATTTGATTAATGAATATATTTGTACCAAACCAATGACATTAATTATTTTATTGGATTTTAGTTATTTTTAGTTTTAAATCATGCTTAATAGACGAAGTCGGAATACTAATTTGAGTTAAACTACCTAGACACAACATGAAAAACAAGAGCCAAACCCCATGAACTCTATCCCTTCCTCATAAATTATTTGGAGTTACGCATTAAATAACAATTAAAATGATGATTTTGGAACATTGATCTTGAAAATTATCACTTTAAATGTTATAAGGCTTTGTGTTATTAATTATTTACCTTATAAATATTATTATATATGTATTTCTATATGGTACTTAAACTCCTACGATTCTACGATTTGATTTTACGATTCCGATTTTACCCCAGTTTTCGATTTTAGCTAAAATCTCGATTTTAACTACTTTGCGTATGATAATCCTCAAGTACCCTTCTCAACTCTCGACTCTCCTTCTCTGTTGCTCTAGCAAAAAATATAGAATCGTCAGCAAAGAAAAGGTGTGATATCACCGGAGCACCCCTTGCTACCGACAGCCCATGTATTTTCCTTTGGTTTAGAGCAAGGGTCATATAGCTTGATAGTCCCTCTAACACCAAAAGGAACAGATAAGGGGACAGGGGATCTCCCTGTCGTAGTCATTTAGGGGTTAATACTTTGGTATCTCTATAGTATCATTTCAGTTTGGAAAATACTTTGTGTATCACTTAAGTTCGGATATTCAAGTAGTCATGTTGTTTCAATTAGTTTAAGAGATCGCAACCATCGAACTCACATAAAGTGCATGCGTCTCATTTTCCGTCGGATCAATTTTTTTCTTAAATTTAATTACATTTGGTTTTGATAACTTTATCAAAGTCATTTGCTTCATGAGTAACCATGAGAAACCAAAAAGAGTCTTGTAATTCCAATTTAAACTCAAATTTTATAGGGCTAATGCCACTACAACACTCGAACAATGACTAAAATGCCACTTATGTCCTATTCTTTTCAATATTCCATTTATGTCCTTTCGTATGTTCTTTTTTGTCATTTGTGTCCTCCCAATTTCGTTGATCGTTAAAGATAACGGTTGACCAAATGGAGGCCAAACTGTTGTTGACTTCTGCTGACGTGGCAAAGCATGTGACATCCACATAGGCGCCATGTCATTGCCACATCATTTTTACTGAAAATTATAATAAAATTAAATTATGAAAATAAAAAAATAATAACTTTTAAATTCAACCCAAAAATTCCGGATTCTTCTTCCGGTGCCGGCCAGTCCGATTCTCCTTCTCCATTGGTGCAAATTCCCAACCCAAAATTCCCCTGCAGAATCTCTTCTTCCTCTCAACTAAAAACCCCTCTTCATCTTCCACCACTTCTCATCCCATAGAAAAGAACACAGCCAAGCCCCCCAAACTTTCCAATCTTCCCCTACTTCGACGAAATCGATGGCCATCAATTCCTTTGTTTTGCTACGCGACCTCGAAAAACCCAGAATTGCGCCTCGAGCAGCGACTGATTGTGTTGTGCTTCTTCACCGCGCCAAGATCCTAGATTCGGCAACATCCCTTCGACTTGTCGTGGTCTCGCCATCACGGTTACGCAAGGAGTACATATTAGAGATGGATCTAGGAAGAGGTGGTTATTGGCGCCGGTAGGTTGAGTTCGAAACACCAGATCTTGGGGTTTTGGCAGAAGCAGAGGCGATGGAAAGAGCAGCGGTGAAGGGCTGCAAGAATCGATGTGAAAGACACCAGAGCGGAGAGGAGAGATACGATCGATGAACTGCCTCCAGTCTCTCGAATCTGAAACGAACCACTTCCGTTGTATGTATTTGTGATGTTGTTAAAACTAAAAATGGTGGACGTTTGTTGATGATTTTGGCTCAACAATCCTGAGCTTTTAGAGTCGAATCGAGGGATTGAATCTGTTGATTGTGAGATGGGAGAGGGAAGGGGAAAGAAGGCTGAGTGGTTTTCCTTTTTATTTTTTATTTTTTAATAAATAAAAATTAAATTTAAAATTCCACGTCAACGCTGACTGGATTTTCTGTTAAATATTAACGGTCAACACTAACAGAAAAATAGTTCAGGATAGAAATGGAATATTGGAAAGAATAGGACACAAGTGACATTTTTCAAATAGTTAGGGTGTTGTAGTGGTATTAACCCAATTTTATAAATATTGCCCATCTATGAGTTGAAGTTAATGCTTTGGTGGAAAATTTATTCACAATTCCCCAAAATTGTCTGAATCAAAACAAAAAGGGTAGAAAGCTCTGTTTTCTGAACCGGACCGGAGGCTGAACCGAAAAAGTTAGTGGTTTAAGGGTTCACCGATTAACCGTTACAAAACCGTTGGTGAACCGTTGATAGAACCGTTAATGATATATAACATATAAGACTTGTATATTACACTAATTTAAGAATGAAATTATCATACCATAAACAAGTTCAAATTCATACCATCACGAAAATATCTAATAAATCATTCCAACCATCTCACAAAAGAAACCACATTTTTTAATTCAAATTAAAAATTACGGTTCTAGTTGCCAGTAGACAATGTAAAATCGACAATAAGGTTGAGGAAGCATATATAAAATTAATAATTATGATTTAATGGTCTTAGTTTATGTTAAATTTTTTTTTTTTTTGTTAAAATAATGAACCAATAGACCAGCTAAACCATGTCGGTTCATCTGATTTTATGTTGAACCGTGAAAAACCGTTTGGTCCATCAATAACCGTTCAAACAATAAACCGGACCGCTATCGTAATTGATTTGACGGTTCTACTGGCCCACCCGTTGATCCGGTTCGGTTCTTATAACAAGGGTAGAAAGTGAATTTCAAGTTATAATTAACCAAAAACTACATAAAAATAGAAACTAGAAAGAAAACAAAAGCTAAAATCAAAGGTTTCTGAATTCAATGTTGTTTGTACCATCTAACTCGAGGTATTAACAATAACGATTTGTTGGTGTGGGCTTGACTCACGATCCGCTCGTCCGATCTCATGGGAGGGAGTAACCTGTAGGAAATAGGGGGATGTCCCCTGGATTAGGTTTCGACGACCAAGTTAGTACATAGTATAGAGAGACATGAGAGAGCAATTTAGGGAGACAAAGTATAGAGAGAGCGCCAAAGTGTAAAATTAGGAAGGAGAAGATGCCCCCTTTCTTGGAGGGCCTGGAAACCTTTATATATACGTATAGAGCACTGGTTGCGCTACAGGTTGGGCGTCACGGTAGCGCACTAGGTTGCGCGGCAGGTTGGGCATCACTATGCTAGTGTGCCGCAATGCTGGTGTGCTACTACTTAGTCTCGGTTTGGCGTCATTAGTATAGTCTTTAATTGGTGTGCCATTATGCTAGTGCGTCACAATGGTGGTGCGCTACTACTTAATCTCGGTTGTGTCAAGGTTGGGCGTCACTATGCTAGTGCGCTACTACTTAGTCTTAGTTTGTATCACGGTTGGACGTCACTACCTTGGTGCGCTATTAGTTAGTCTATACAATAAGGGTTTAGTAACACCCCAACAGATGTTTTAAAACTTAGACAAGAGAAATGGTTCTATGCATATTGGGACATGGCTAGGAGAATGATTAATTCCAAACAGGAAATATTTGAGCAACTATCCAATGTTGAATAAATTTCAGCAAACACATAAAAATTAGCTTACTTCATAAAATATCTGTAAGTAGTTCCTTTGAGCAACTATTCCAAACAGACTCACCATAGTTGGTACCAAAATCCTTATGAAATAAAATCATTTTAAAAATATGCTATTTATAAATTCCAAAAAAATGGTAAAAAGAAAAAAAGGAGGGACTAGTTTTGAAATTTGGAAAAAAAATGTTCTGCCAACTCTAACAAATGCACTTAACATAAGGTTAAGTGGTACCCGATGCACAAAATTGTGAGTTTAGTGGTAGTCGACGCCTTATCACAATTCACAACTTAAATGGTATGATTACTTCAATTCTCAAATTTAAGTGGAGATATTTTGCTCTCAACGCTTTAATTACACTGAATTTTGCAATAAATTATTATAAATAAAAATTTCCAATGGTCGAAAATTTCCTAGAACGAAAATTGTAAACATTTTTAAAATTACGGGCAGTTCTTAGCCTGACATAGTAAGTGACTCACGGATAAGAGCTGATAAATCATTTGTCATCAATAAAGCTCAAGCAAGAACAACAATACAACATCTGTACAATCCCCTCATATCTAAGTTAACCTATGTTCATCAGAAGGCCTATACTTCTCTACCAAGTTCCATTGGTAGATTGCATACGGAATCACACAGTACTTCAATCTTTTGGACATGCTGCATAAACAACAACATGACATTGGTAAAGAGATGTCATTCAAGAATAAGAACCGTAAATGCAATTAGAAATCGGATAATGTCGACGAGGTAACACATAAACAATTGCACATCATATGCACGAGCATAACTGCGAGAAGGTAGCAACATTTTCAAAAACATCGGCGATTTCATTTAAAGTGGGTCCCACTTAAAATATAAAATTAATTTTATTTTTATTTAAATAATGACTCACGATGATTTTTCATAGTTTGCGACACTTTTTAGTTTGAGGGTGGAGAATTCAATACTAAATTAGGAATTAGTACAT